CGGCCGTGCCGGGGGTGGCGGGTCGGCTCGGGGGCTGTGTCCCCCCTGCCCCTGCCCGTGTCCCTTTCCCTGTCCCGTCCCTGCCCGGGGTGCGCGGGGGGAGCCGGGCGGAGCGTGCGGACGTGTCCCGGCCTCCCCGCGGGGCCATTTTTCTGTACCTTCTTTATTATTATTATTGTTATTAATGCTGTTTTTCCTAGTTACCGAGCCTCGTCTTGCTTTTACCCCTGGAATTCTCTCCCCCCGGGTGGCCCTTGCCCTGACCCCATTTTCTGCCAGGAGGAAGGAGCCAGGGAAGGGGGAGCAGCCTAATGGCCGGGAACTCTGGTTCTCCTTTGGATGGGGAATTTCACCAGACCACCTCCTTGATCCCGCCAGGGCCTCCGGCTTTATCGCCCCTCCTGAGAAGTCACTCCGTCCCTGCTGGCTTTCTCCCCCCACACCCGTTTCCCGCTGGTTCTCAACGCTATTTTTACATTTTTAGACTTCCTTGGCGAAGGATTCAGGGGCTCCGTAAACTTTGCCAGCTCTGGGGTGGAAGGAGCAGACATCTGGCACGGAGCACCCCCCCCAAGCGACGGCCGGATTGGAGGCAAAGCTAAAAATGGTGGTTTTTTTTGAGCAGGGACAACAGAGCAAACCTTTTTTGAGTGAGTTCTGCCCGTGCCCACCTGGAGCAGCTGAGGAACAGCTTCCCCTTGTTGCAGCTGAAACGGTGCCGGTGGCTGAGCCTTCTAAAATTAGTGAGGAGTGGAGGATTTCCTTTGGAGTCCAGGTTGTGCTTTGCCAGACGTGGCTCCCGGGATGGGAGTAAATCCTGGTTTACTTCAGCTTAGCCCTGGTGGGATGATCCCTTCCCGGGAGACCCGCTGGGTCCAAGGGACTCTTGTTCATCCCAAAACTTTTAGGCTGATTCAGGTGTTTTACCTTTGTTGTTTGGAGCCTGTGGAGGGACCCTCGTGCCCGGGATTGATCTGGCACTTGGAATTTGGTGTCCAAAAGTGTCCAGGTTGTCTCATGTCACTGTTTGTTGTTTAAAAATGTCCAGTGGCGCCAACCTGGGCTGTTGACGGAAGCTGGAGTAGCTCTTCTAACAACTTTTTAATGGATTTATGGATTAATTGGCCGGATTTTGGGGGTCTCAGGAAGTTTTTGGGAGGTGTCCTGGTGTTTTTGGGGTTGCTGTTTCCCCATCCCCACCTCGAATCCCGGCGTTCCCTCCGCGTCCGAGTCGCGTTCGTTAGTGGAGTGCCTTAATTTGGATGTGCTTTTCCCAGCACAGAGCTTTTACCTGGAGAAAAGGATCGTTAGGAATAATTGGCCGAAGGTCGTTAGGATATCTGAGGATCTGTTGGGTGTTTGGGAAGAGTGGAATTCAAAGGGAGCCGTGCTGGCTGTGGGATGTTTGTGGCTTCCCCCGTTCCGTACCCGCCGCGGGGTGGGATGGGGAGGGACGTGCAGGGTCGGTTTTTTGGGATGAGTTGCTGTTGTGGCTCGGAACGTTGGGATTGTGCTGCTTGGAGAGGTTTGATCAGAGCCCTGTGAATCCTCAGGCTCTGATCATTGAGTTATTCACTGGATGGTTGGGGTGGGAAGGGGCCCTAAGGATCATCTCATTCCACCTCTGCCATGCGCAGGGACAACTTCCACTGTCCCAGGGCGCTCCAAGTCTTGGACACTTCCAGGGATGCTGCTGAGCTGGAGCTCCAGGCTGGCCAGAGAAGGTGGAGCTGAACAATGGCGGGTCCGTGCCGATGGCTTTTACTGGAATTCTCCTGTAGGAAAGGAACTCTGGCTCCTTTTTACCTCGTGGTTTGTTCTCCATGTCCACTTATCAACCAGAGCTTG